TGCTTGGTGCCCATCCGAATGAGCAACATTCGCTTTCTAACAATCCTGGATCGGCTGGCAATGGCATGCTGAATACTACTTCCAGCACTGGAGGTGCTGGGTCCTCAACATTAATGACACTTACTGGAGGAGTGTCCACCAGGGTAGGCGACGAGACCAGACATCACAATGGACTGGAATCTAGCGAACTTCACACCAAGGCTTCGTTAGGTGCATTAACTGGAGACGATTTCGACCTGCAGGAGATGGACACTCTTTCATCATCGGTATTTGCATTTGCTTGTTTATTCTACTTTTTTGCAACTTTTGCCCAAAACAGACTAAATTAACACAACTTGCCATGGCTGTGATTTCGTCTCCCACTATATTATCATTGTTTATTGGTGTTAATATCCTTCCGTTATTGATGATTGCTGTTATTTGGCTTTTTGTGTATTCCTTTTTTATTTAAGAAATATACCACATTTGTTTAATATAGAACTTAATCTATTATCATAGTTAGATGTTTGGCCTCAAGTCCATTCCCTTATGTGTATGCTATTTTCGGCTATGTTTTTGACGAATGCAGGCTGACTTAATGCCACACACAGTTAGGTATTTCACTCCTACAATCTACTTGTGATGTGCAGTATCCATGATTTACATCTATAGTGAAACTCGAAGTTGCTTGAACTCTCGTTTAGATAAACTGGGTTTCGAAGAGTCTCTTACTGGATTGATATAGATGTACGTAATCCGAAGGAGATTTGTCTTACAGTTTTAATTTTTGATTTTTTGAATTAGTCTTTAGCGCAATGTCCGTGGTCACAGAAAGATTTCGCAAGCACTTATTCTTCAAATATAGGGTCATAATTGTATGGCGATCCTCCTTAAGCTTCCGATGAGATAAATTTCAAACAAAACGAAAGGCATACTATCATCAATCTCCATTCGTTTATTAGCGTCTTAAACTCGTTTTTATTCCTATATCATCTCTTTATAAATTTTCTTTTCTTGATTACTTCTTTATTTATGCATTTTGATAGCTTACATAAAAAGTCCCAGTGAAGTGCATTAGCTAGCACTGTATTCTTACCTGCATCTTTTAGTTATTGGATTTTTATATAAATATTTCCTCATACTTTTTGATAGCCTAAAAATGTAGCTTCTTGCGTCTCGGTATGCCTAAAATTTAAATAAAATGCTTGCATCTGGCAGTTCTGGTTTACTGTATTAGTAGTCTATCAATTCTTACAATTAGGAACGTAATTATATTTCGTATAAGGGAGTAGTGTTTACCTTTTCCATCTTTCAGATATAACTTGAATCTCTATATCCATCTATTGTATACACAAAGCCTCAGTTACTTTTACTCGCTCATGAGTGGGCCATTATTATTAATTACATAGCCTCCTAATACTTCACTTATTTAAATGCATAGTGAATAGATTTTCATTTCCATTTATTAATAAACAGTAATCATCCAATGTATTACCTTCCCTATATATAGATTTTCACTTGCAATATTATTCGGCCAATGCTATACAACTATACGCCTAGGATTTGCTATTTAGGTTGCTAAACATTGCCTAAAGTGTATAAATGAACTCACGAAATTCTACAGTAGCCCTCTTCAACTGATTCATAAACATACAAAAGATTAGAATCTTTTTAGATCCCAAACCTACTTTCTTTCTTTCTCTCCAAATAGAGCTATCATTATTTTATGCTTAGGCCATATGCATTTTGAAATCCGATAAATCTAAAATTACACAATCTAGTAACAGTTTGTTTTGGCTATTTATTTCTATCGCTTCTTTTTTTCATTACTTTTACTCGAAAGACTTGGATGTTAATTTTTCAATGATTTATTTCCCCCATGTTTCAAAGCTTAAACCCATATTAATAAAATTTGATAATTCTTTTGCTTAGATTTGAGAATTTCACTTTTTATATTTATATATTTATTTATGATAGTATAACTTTAAAATTAACCAAAATTTTATATATTTACTAACTTTCTGTATTTAACCCTTTTACTGACTAAACCTGCCTTTTTGACTTATTAAGTCCGTGCTCTTAAATATATTCACTTTTCCCAAAGAGTCCAACTTTTTTGGAATCTCTTGACTACCATCTGGTCTTCTTTATTCTTATTTTCATTGAACATCACAAAGGCCTAATAACTCCTTGTTTTATTTCAAGCTGTCCTATAAAAATCTTTTTTAATAAGGGGTTAAGGCAATGAGGTGTAAGCTTGTAAGCATGTAAGTCAAATTTCAAAACCACTTGTCAATCCCTCTTAGTCTAGAGTCATTAAGGTTTAACAACCCAATGAAATTCATGACTAGGGCTGCGTAATCTAGCACGTCTCGGTTGATGAGCTTATTCTAACATGTTGGATAAGTGTGAAGGAAGTTAGAACTATCACTGAGCAGACAAGTTGAGTCGCCTTCTTTTATATTGCGGCTCAACATCCTCCTACTTCAATCTATCAATCAAATATAAATAGTTCCTACTCAACTTTCTACCACTGTTCCTCATATTCAACATATTCCCTAATCTATTAATTTCAATAGCCTTTTATCTTTCTTTTAACAGCAGATGTACCATAATCAGAAAACCTGTTCGTTTGAGACCATTCCTTCTCATGTTCAGTTTCTGCAATGTATTCAGCCACTTCTGATCGTTGGACCCAGCTTCCTTTACAAGCATTTTTGTGTTCACTCACTCTGTCAAATAGATCGGCATGTCTCACTAACATAAGATCAACCACAGAAGCAAGCAATCTTGTAGTATCCCGATCTCGATAATGAGTTATATTTCTCTCTAAAAGATGGCATAACAGAAAAAAGTGTGAGGGTTTCTTTAAACACTGTTTTTATCCTCCACTCTTTTTTGAAAGAATGCATGGCGGCAAAATCCTTCGGTTTCTGACACATCAAGAATGACTAAATATGTTCTTCAGCCGGATAAGTGAGGAGCGATGGTCGTAATTGACGGGAAACTGTACATGGAGAAAATTGAAAGAAGGCTAGGCGACCGGAACACTTATAAAATACTAAAGAAGTATCGAACCATGAAGATCAACCGGTCAATGAAAATATGCTAATGGAAATGCATGATAACGGAGAAATTGATAGATACATGACGAAAAATGATGCAAAATAACCGATAGCCTACGGACTACCGAAGATACATAAGGAAGGAAATCCACTAAAATTAAGTCAACAACAAGCATTGAGCAACACAAAAGCTAGCGAAATTCATTTGCTTGAAGCTCGATAAAGTAAATGGCAGACTCTCGAATACCGTCAAGAAATTATATGAATTTTTTAAAGGATCCAGAACATTGGGTTGGTGGGGTCGGAACTGTTGTTGAGTTTTGATGTAGAATCAATGTACACAAACATCTCAGGCGAGAAGGCGGTAATCACCTTCCTGAAGATTTTGGAGCAAAAAGAGGAAAGCGTGGAGGCAGAACGGATACGAAAGTAATCGTTAACACGATTAATCAACCTGACAGAAAGGATCGCCTATTTTACATTTAATTACACAATCTATGAGCGAATATTTGGAATACCGATGTGATATCCAATCTCACCTCCTGGAAAATCTATACATGGTCAAATGGTAAAGGGAATTTGCAAAGTCACCATTGCAATCAAGAGTGCTTATGCGATACTTAGATGACTACTTTGCACTTTGCTCACATGGTAAGGAAAATTTAAATGAGCTCCTAAATTTTATAAACCAACTCGATGGAAGAATCAAATTCATAATAGAGGTGTAGGAGGATAAACGATCAGCCTTCCTAGATGTCGAGATCATTCACCCCAACAGAATACTCAAGAGGGGAGTATTCAGAAAGAATTAACATACTGGAATAATCATTAATTTCCAGTCTCATAACAACTACAGACAGAAGATCGGAATAATGAGTATTATCATCAGAAGCTTAAGACTAATGGACACTGAGTTCTGGAAAGAAGAGTTGGAAAAACTGGCTCGGATTTGCCTTAGTATCAGGTACCCTAGAGAATATACATAAATAAATTTAGGTATCATAAAGAGCAAATTTGAACTTGAAATTTATGGAAATCCGATCAGGAATCAGCACAACCAAATGCGGATATGTCTGCTCTCATGTGAACTGAGCCAAAAATTGCGACAGTTCCTAATAAAATAGAATATCAAGGTGATAAAAAAGAAGAAGACAACACTTTCCCATTCCGCCGACGCAACATGATAAGACTCACAAACTGGATTGCTCGGGAATTTATCGCATCAAATGCGGCAACTGTGAGAAGAAATATATTGGTGAAACAGAAAGAAAAATCAGCCTACGAATCAAGGAACTTCAAAGCAAGTGTAAAAACATGGATTCGCAGCGATCCTAAATAGCAGAACACATTGCATGGACGGGACACGAAATTGTCTGTAAATCAACAGAAATGCTGCCTGCATATGATGAAAGTACTAGAATTCGCAAGATCCGAGAGACCATCGATATACTGATAGAAAGAAATCAGATGAACAGGAGACTCAAAGAAGGCAAAATCAGCGAAAACTTTGCATATTGTCAACTTGAAAATGATAAGACAACAGCAAAGAGATGACGAATTGATCAAGGTAACATCTTTAATTTTAGGAAAAGTAATCGCAAGGTGACCAGAAAGGAACAATCGGAAACCAAGAGGATAAGTCTACAATGAGCCTAATAAAAACAAATAGTCACATTACTTGTGAGTTGGCACACAAGAGACTAGCGCATAGGAAGTCGTAGACCTGGCATTATGGATAGAAGCACTATATATGTGCCGCAGACTTGGTCTGGTTAGCTAATAGTAGGCGTGTTTGATCATATACGTGATCCATGAAGCAAAGGCTTGATCATGATAATTATTCGGGATCTCTAGCCTCAAGTTAGTCTCTCATCCAACTTGAGAATCTAGACTTTGTCGGCCTTCTCTGCGGGACGGGAGTATACGTGGCATCAAAGGCTTAAGGCAGAGTGTAGGAAATAACGCCTCGAATAACACAGGTAGGGTAGCAGGGGCCAATTGGAATATCTGAACCAGGAAGATAGGAGACGGATCCTACGGGGCAAGTGGGAGAATCTTATGGGACTTATGCAAAAAGGATTGTGGAATAATATGGCAAACTCAAGTCGACATTCCCAGCACAATGACATATATATATATATATATATTTGCATAATCCATGTAATCGGGACCAACTGATATTGTTGAATCACTTCTATTGCCAAACCTAGATATATTTGGGATTGCCGTGTATGGAGTGCGCATCTAAGCTCATTCGCATTTCTTTTTTTATTGTCTTTTCTTTG